ACTATGGGTATAAATCGTCATAAACGAATAAAACTATATATAAAACTATCACCTATGAAGGTATAGGACTATACATTTTTATAGATTAAATTTGTATCTATAGAAATATATTAGACTTAATAATACATAATAATATTTGCGTTAATATTAGTATATATATGAATATAATAAAATATCTCAATTAGAACAAAATAAAAACTCTCCTAATGTGAATACGTTTTTTTATTTATTCATAGAAAAATTTGTGTATCTTATTTCTCATATGTTTATAAAATATAAAGAAAAAATAGTTATATCTGGACACTAAAAAAAAGTAATACTTATTTATGTATATATATTATGAAGAAATAATAATGCGATATACATGAAAATGAGAAGGAAAAATTAAATTTGCTTTATTGTCAAATTCAAATATTGCATAAAATATGTAGTATACTTGTGAATTAAAAAATTAATATTTACTATTTTTTTCATTGTAAAATTATTCTACATATATATATTTTAGTATTAATATAATACAGGATAAGCTGAATAAATATATTTTTTTTAAGTTATCACTTTTTTTTTTTTCTTAATTTATTATTTTGTTTACTCAATGTAGTATATTTACAACATTGAGTTGAAAATTATATTCAACAATCATAATTACTTAATAGTACAATAAATTAGAGAATCCTTAATATATTTTTTTATTAATATACTAAGCACAATATCATATTGAACAGGTTTATGATTATTATATATAAAGAAAAACGAGTTAAAATATCAAATTTTAATATTTGGAGAGAAATAAGTTATATTGCATTCTAATTTCAACTCTCTTTTTAACAATCCAGTTTTCCTTTTTCATCCTTTTTCAGAAAATTGTTGGTTACAACATATGTTGCAATGAAATTAAAATAAATATATATTATGTATATATATTTCTTACATAATAATTCTAAACGTTCTTAACAAATGAAAATAAATGCTACTTTGGAGTTTCGGATATAATAACATGGAGTGCATCGTTGATATTTTTCTTATTTTCTTATAATATTTTTCATAATAAAAATGCACCTAACATTAAGGAATAAAAAAAATAAGATAAAAGAGGATTTTGTTGGAGTTTTACTAAATTTTTTGTTAAATAATAATACTGTCCAAAGAAAAAATATTAGTATAAAATGGCAATATTATATTCTTTCGTTTCTTTATTAAATTTTGTTATCAATTATGGGTGCAATTATTTTAAAAATAAAAATGGATCAATTTTTACATGACTCTGAATTATTTAAAAAAAATGATCATAATATATTTTTAGTAATGTAATGTCAAACATTTTTACATATAAAATTTGAATTATTTATTGTAAAAGGATATCAATAATTAATTATAGGCTATTATATTATGCTTTGGGTAAAGAAAATATTAGAAATAGATTAGATAAAAATTAGTAACATATAAGGAAAAAAAAAAAATATAGCAGAAGAATAAGTATAGATATAGATATTTAACTGAAATAAAAAAATAATATTTAAAAATATGAACTGTTCGTAATTTATTAATGATATAGCATATTAATGATGATAAACTTTTGAACCATGGCAATATATGTATATTACAAAATATATTTGTTTTTATGAATATTTATATATTATAAATATGGTGCATGAGCTTTTGTAGAATTTTATACTGTTTTATGAATTAAATAAAAACGATTACTAAAATTTAAATATTATTATGTATAGTAAAAATGTTGTTCTAAAAAGATAATAGTAATATTTACTTATAAAAATTAAATTATGTAATGTGACATTACAAAATATGACAGAATATTACATATAAGAATAGGATAGCTTTGTTTTATGAAATGATTGTTACGAAAGTACATGAATGTTAATTACGAAACCAAAATCAAATATGGAAGGAATTAATATTAGATATATATATTTACATAAATGTTACTTAAGAGAATGTGCGCTTAATCGATGCAAACAATTCATAATGAAAAATGAAGTTATCCATTTCATTTGGGATTTAATAATAGAGAAATATACAACATATTCTGCCTTTAAAAGAAAAAAATTTACTACATGAAATGTTAAAATAATATTATAAAAACTTAGTGATATACAAAAAATTCCATGATGTACCGTAAATGCTAAAATAGCAGCAATTAAAAAAACGGTATGGATTTTTTTTATAACTAATAAAATATGTTTTTTTTTCTCTAATTTTTATGTTTATATTAGTAACATAAGATTGGTATAAAAATGAATTATTTGTATTTACGAAAAGTGAACAATTTTTGATATTAGTTAATGTAGCTATTCTATCGAAGTGAAAAAATTTTCCTCAAATTACCAAAGATGATTAAAATAAAAGTAGAAATGATGTATAAATGTGATGCTGAAAATTTTGATAAAAGTTGCCAAAAGGTCATATATATATGCATTACTATAAGATAGTGTATTATATATATTATGGCACCTATGTTAACTGTCAACTTTTACCATATCACTCTATGTATACTATAAAAATATTTTCAAAGCAAAATCTCTAGATGATTAATTTATTAAGAATTGGTAATCCTGTTTTAAGATAATCAAAAAAAAAAAACTCATATTAATTATATAGAGTAAAATGATTGAACAAATGTAGTGATGATATCAATTTAACATGGGTACATAATTGAGAAATTACCAGTATATAGTATACTCAAGAATGATACATTACTCATTTGTTTATGATAAAAAAAATAATATGATTCTGTTAAATGAGATGTTTGTATGGAGTATTAGATAAAGCAGAAGCAAAAACTTATGTTTTATTTCTAAATTTGAAGATTATCAGATGATATATGTAATTTTTGCAATATACAAATATCCGGAAGAAAAAAAAAGAAGAATAAAAAATGCTGATTGCCTACACAGATATAAATACTGTCTACAAAATATATCATAACAACAAATGTATTACACAGCTTTTGGTGATCACATACTATAACAAGATGTTTATTTATTCTATTTCATTCTTATTTTCATGTTATATTCGTTACAACACAACATAATAATTAAATCAGTTTAACACAATATTAAGCAAGGTAATATTAATAATAAGTATTTATCTTTTTTTGCTCTCATACCACAATTAAAATTAGGAAAACTTTTAACGAAATGTTACACATATGCCAAATAATGTATTAACCTTTATGTGTAAAAAATGAATATATAGTTTGTCCTAATAGAGTACCACAGATGGGTGTTTGTTTTATATTTAAAATATAATTTTGCAAATGTAGAAATATATGAAAAAAAAAGAATTGAATAGCTTAAAAGTATAATATAACTTAACATGTAAATGAATAGTTATGAAACAACAAAAAGTGTCATATATTGGGGTAGTATAACTATTATTTTTGTTAAGACACATTTTAGCTATAATAAAAGGATAATTTATTAAAAATATTGCTAACAAGAAAAGCAATAAAAAAAGAAATAATATAAAATACACATCATATGTAGCTATTAAAATTGAACATGTTATGATATATACTGCTCAACTAAGAAGAAAAAGTATATATATTTTATTTTTCGTAAAATTCTCATTACAAAACACATTAGAGAAGAAAAATAATACAAAAAAATATAAAAATATATATTAAAACTAAATGACGGAATTAAACAACATCAAGATATTTTTATAGAAGAATATACTGATGTTTCGATGAATTTCCTTTTTATTTTCTCGAAAATATTTTTAGGATCCAAAAATGGCAATTTAACATAAAATAAAGGTAATATAAAAGCCTTGTCATAAAACATAAATCTTATTAAGTAGCACATTGATATTTTAAGAGTTATAAGACACCAAAAGATTATGGAATATACAGAAATATATGAAGTGTGATTTTGTTGTGCTTCCGCTGCTCTTAAACATTTCAAATTATTAGTAGTCATAGACAACAGTGGAAAACAATAAAAAATTCACATTTGGTTTTGAACAAATACTTTTCAAAAAACATGTGTGTATATTATATATAACGTATACTATAATGAGTTAAAAAAAAAATATATATTTTTTAATTATGCATTAACTATAATTCATAAAAATAATAATGTAATTTAATGCTTTCGGCATAAATTGTGTTTCATGCAATACAACAATGTATTATCTCATTTTTTGAATGTGGAATAAAAAAGAGTGATGTATATTTCTTTAAATCGTGTTAACACTGTAACCGATATTTTATCTTATAACCTAAATGATTGCATTAATAAAGGATAAATGATAATAAAAAAATTCCTTAAGAACACATAATGAAAAAATAAATATACGTGTTTCGAACATGGACTTTTCTTATACATTAATTATGATCAAGACTATATAATATAATGAGCATCGCATATATTAGCTACTCAAATATTGCGTGTGTAACCTATGTTATATTAGGGAATGGAAAAATAGGGGTAAAAATTTCCCATATAATTCTTCTTAAAGCTATTTATTTTTTAATAATCATCGGGTATACAAGATGATCAAATATTTATATGATTAAAAATAAATTTAAAAAAATAGGGCTACACACTATCGAACGTAGACATACTAATTATAATAAAATGACACAACTGCACATTATCACACAATCATTATACATAGAGATAAAAAAGAAATTATGTATTAAAAAATAATCCCTATCATTCATAGTAATACTACTGTGTAATGAGACTATATATAATTATTTATTAATCAATATATAGTTAAAAAGTATATAAAATCATCATTATATATAGTAAAAAAAAATATATAACTGTATGTTAATAATATTTTTTAATATTATTGACAAAATATGGATGATAAATTAATTATAAAATTGATATAAAATTGTTTAAGATTTAAAAAAAATATATTTTTTTGCTTCTCTATTAAAAATAATTCGAAATTTAAGAATATTAAAATTTTTCTGAAAAATTAAAAAACCACTTTAACATTAATTCATCTTTTATTATATTATGATATTATTTTACTTTTTTTGAGGAATTTATTTTGTTGCTAAAACTTTTGTATAATTCATTCATTCTATTAATTTCTGTAAATTTGTATGCATAATATAAAGCTATTGCAAAGAAGGCCATCGATAAAAATGCAAATATATATACATTAAAAAAGTCCTTAAATATCATCATTATCATTAATATTGCCATGAGTACAGTTGGTGGTAAGTATATTCTAAATTTTCCCATAAAATGTTTTTGTTTTCCTCCGTAGGTTTTAAATTTGCACTCTTCATAATCAGAAAATGATTTTTTTTTTTTCACATAATAAGTTTGCTTCAAACTCTTTATCCAATCATTTTAATGTATCCAAGTATCCTCCTGATGTCCGTTCTTTTCCAGTAGATGCTTTCAAACCTATCTCCTTTAGGGACTCAGGTTCCAATACAACATCAAAGTTATTTATTCCTAAAGAAGTTTATTTTTTGTTTTTCTTTCCATATTGGAATGCCTTTTGCGATTTTTTCGATTTGCGATATGGTTCTAGATCCATATGTAAATTGGCAAAGTTATCATTTTTGTATTCAAAATCATCTTCATAATAGAAATTGTCAAGGTCTAAAGAATTATTACGTTTTAATTAATTTTTTTTTTGAGTTCCTTATTTTGATCATGATTGTTCATTAAATTGTCAAGGTTTAGGTTTACTTTTTCCGATGAACAAGATTATTATGCGCATATTAATTTATATATAAATATGATTTTGCACATGTATTAAGTGATCATTTTTAGAAATGTGTAATTTTAATTTTAAAAAATATTAATCATCATAGCATACCTCCGTAGATTCAAAACGTAAATGTTGGAAGCACAGAAGAATTCCTGTACCTTATCTTATTATATTAGAAACTTTGCAAAATATATGAAAATTATATAAATTCTACAGGATGTACTATACGAAATACATAACATGCGACAATCTATGAATAAATCTGTTATACTGAAAGAAAAAATTGATATATTTTCTTAATAAAATATATATTTGCTGAGGTAAATAATTCTTATTAATTTTTTATTTAAATTTTTATAAGGTAATACTTGAATATTTATAAATTTATAACGAATATACATATTTTATGAATGTCCCTGAATTATACATAGCCCTATACATTGAAAAAAAAATTTGTTAGTTAACAATTTATTATTATTCTGTTATATTTCTCATTCCAAAAATATGTAGCATA